AATTACTGAAGGAATGATTAAAAGGTTATGTTTGTAAAATAAAATAATTCTACAAGATGTTCCGTACTTAAATTATTGAAAGAACGATAAAAAATAGATTGTATCTGAAATAAAATGATTTCACAGGGTGTTTCACAAATGAATTATTGGAAGAATAGGTCATGTTTGTGAAATAAAATAATTCTACAGGGTGCAGGTAAATTACTGAAAGAATGATAAAAAGTAGGTTGTGTTTGTGAAATAGAATGATTCTACAGGGTGTTTCACAAGTGAATTATTGGATGAATAGTTAAAAATAGGTTATGTTTGTGAAGTAAACTGATTCTACAGGGTGTTTCACCAACGAATTTTAGGAGCACGATCTACAAGCGGAAATAAGGAAAAAATGTCATACAAAGTTTGTTGGTAAACGAGTTATACATTAAGTACTTCAAACATAACACGAATATGCGTAACAGCATGCGTGAATTCTGAAGTTCGACAAAAATACGAAACACATGTTGCTTATATATCCTCGTGCGATATCCTTTCTTCTCTATTATGATAACGTTAATAAAAATTAGGGTTACTTCAGGTACCAGTAAAACGAGCCATTTCATTTATGATTTATATTTATACGACGAACCTTTAAGATGATTTTATTTCGCACGATAGTTCGCGATACATGTTCGTGTTTCATTTGCGTTAGTAAAACGTGCTGTGCGATTCGTGCCGAATTCAGTTTATTCTGCGATAACCGGGCCGCGTTTCTGATTTACAGAGTTTGCGTTTTACAGAGCCGCAGCGAACGTAGGGAACGCTTCACGATCCGGGAACGTAGATTAGAGAGTATTTCGAGGTTCCCGACACGCAACGCGGCCGTTGACCGAAAATCGCGGACAAAGAATCGTGCACGAAGAAGCATGCATTAGGTGTCAGAAGCACGCTCTGTTTGATTCCGTCCCTGTGTTTCAGGGGTGAATTATTAGGACGAGGATAGTGGAGCATATCACTATCAGGAAGATCGTAGGTAGTCGTTAGCAGGATTATTGGCAATCAGGGCTACGGTAACTGACTTTGACCAATATGCATGGCCAAAGTTTCAAAATTCTCGCCGTCATTTCTCATATGGCCATCGCCAGAGATCGTGGACCGGAAATTACAGTTAATTGAGGGGGAGGTGGGGGCGAGAGGGAAGGCAGAAACTCGAAGAACAGCTCGGGGATGAAACCGATTATTCTCGATTCTGCTGGCAAGTTCATCAAGCCTTTGTATCCCTTTGCAATCTGCCCTGAAATAGTCCTTTCCCCGGAAGTTTGAAGCGAGCACAAAGCATAAGAGTATTTTGGTGAACGTTCTACCACCATCGGATCCACGTATGTAGTTATACAATAGAATCAAACGATCGAGGATTTCGCTCGAAAGGCAGAACGAATTTTTATCGCTTCGACAAGCTTGCTGTTTGCTTGTTTTGGCGAACTGTTTGTTTGCTCGGCGATTCGATAGGAATTGCGTGGAAGTAACAGTGTTTTTGTTCGATGAAGTTTCGAAATCTGTAAAAAATATATATTACTGTGTCAGTGAAATGATCAACAATGAAAAAATTTGTTGACAATTTAAGCTGATACAACTAAGTAGAAGGAAGCCCGAGTGACGATCAATTTGATCTCGAGCGACGTTAAACCGTGAAATCACTGGTTTAACAGTGATGAGTTCGTCTCTTTCGTTGATTACTTTACATCAGTGGGAAAATTCAAACGTTAACAAACTTTTTTTCGTAACTGGATCTGCCATTATTTTGACGTCTTCTTGAAACTGTATGATTTTTTCCCACCATTTTATTCAGCATTGAATAGTTGAATATTAGGATCAAACGACAAAAATTCATCTTACTGTTCAATAAAATGTTAGAAAAAAGTTAAATCTTCAAGATCGTGGTGAATTGATTAAAAAAATTTTTGCACGCGAATTGGAATTTTTACAATTTCAGTGTAAACTCACTTTTTTTTATCCGCTACATGATACATGTTATAAAATGATCTTTGAAAAAAAGAAGAAGGAAAAAGGAGGTGAGTGCTGTCGTGCTTCGAAATGAAATCAAACTGATCGATGTAATTATCGACGATTTTTCCATTCACGCTGAACAATTCGCGTCACGCGAATTCATTGCTCTTCGCAGTCAATTTCTTGAACATCAGCTCGCTCACTTGAAATGTCAGTGGAAGCTCATCAGATTTCAATCAGCGAGCCGAGTTGTGAACGAGGCGAGAGGTAAAAAAGGAGAGGTGATCGATCGACTCGCATTTCTAATTCAATTATCGCGGCCGGACGACTTCTCCTCGGCTATCACTTTGGCCGAATTTCGAGCCTCGTTCTCCTACGGTGGTTAATTACTGACCCATTTCGCGCACGCTTTCCGGTGAGTATAATTCATGCAGGGCCAATCAAACTCGGGAAATTTCTATATCCATTTAAAGGTAGCCCGTCGTAAATTATCCCGGTGATCGCACACACACCAGGGGAGAAAGACCTTACCATCGCCAACAATTTAGTTCCGCTGATTGCACCGACGTGTACTACTTCCTACTTCACCTCTCTTCTTTTTCTTCTTTGTCCTCTCTCTCTCCCCGCTCCCTCTGTCATTTTTCATATTTCATGGTACCGCGGCACGGCGGTATTTATGCGCTAAACTCGTGCTGGTTCGCGACACGCGATGACAAGCGAGACGAATTCGAGGAGGAAGGAAAAACCACTTTAAAACCGAGGGGAACGTCGACAGCTATGAATTAGTACACTTTCAGCGTGGTCTCTGGCGCTTTTATATTTTGACGGAGAAAACCGTGTTACAACACGCGGGAGGTGGGGGGGGGGTTAGGTAACTCCCCCAGAAAAATTAAAAATATTCTCTCTCTCTCTCTTTCTCGAATCTCAAAATCTTAAAATCTCTCAAAAATTTTTTATGTTAAACTATATTATAATATATACGCTAAATTAAATACACTAAAATATACTATAAATTGTGATAATTATTATAATTTAGGATGCTCAGCTCAACTTAGCCTTGCTGCGATCCTTGAATTTTTATTTATATGCAATAAACAGCTACATAAAATGATATTAACACGTGCGACGAAAATTGACATGTTTTTATACGTTTTACAATGTCGACAAGAGGGAAAACTTGAGAAGCTAGGAGAAGAAGCTTGCACCAACATCAACACTACGAAAGAAATTAAGAAACATGGCTAGTTAGCGATGCAAACTGACGTTTGGACTTCTGTTTATCGGTTCGTTACTCGTTCACAGTATTTTTCGTGTTTACTCCCTTTGAGCGCGAAATCAATTGAACTTCTATCGGAAACTGTTAAACCTTGTCCCGTCGTTCGATTCGAAAAAGCCCGCGACCCGATTTCTGTGGATCTCCTAATTTTCCCTGACTCGTTGGATCAATTCCACTCGTCGTTCTCCTTTTCGACGTCTCTTTGATTTCGGCTGCGCTTTACGCTGTTTACGTAGGCGCAACGAACCGAGTAGGTATTTCCATGAAATTTTTGTTTAACACCGTGGTAAATAAAAGAGACGTGAAAATAAGATGTGAAGATCGACGAAATACACGCGGCACAGTTGAAGCGTGGCAAAGTTAAAAAAATATAAACTCTGGGGATGTTATTGGAGAGCTTTCAGAATTTAGACACTCACAAATGTCCAACGAAATTTCCTATGACGTGAGAAAACATCTTCTCGCGACTTTTACATTAAATTTTCGAATCTTAGCCAGTATAATCATCGTTGGATATAATCGTGTCGCGTAACGGTGAACAAAGAAATTTGTACAAAACTTTCGGCAGTTCATACCTCGCGTTCAAGTAGGTTTCTCTCGAATTTAAATGTCAGAATTTCGGGATATTCCCGTATAATTAAGGGGAAAAAGGAGATTCTTCTATTCAGAGAAAAGAAACAAACATCTTAGCTACTGTAATTTATGTATTTGGCATCAAAAAATGTCTTGTTGTATCGTACAAACTGTATGATACAAAAAGTGGAATTAGATAATACCACATAAAACGTGGTTATTTCAGCAGTCTTTCAATGATTACAATGATTACAATGTTTTCATTTACACATTGATATCATATTTAGATCTTAATCTACTTCTTCCATTCGTGAAGTATCTTCCACAGGAGATACTTCTTCAATTGTTTGCTCTTCTGGTGCAGATTCTTCTTCATCAATACCAAGTCCCAGCTTAATCATTCTATAAATTCTTGCGGCATGAACTTGTGGTTCATCCAGTGTAAAACCTGAGGAAAGAAGTGCTGTTTCGAACAACAGAATTACTAAGTCTTTTACTGCTTTGTCACTTTTGTCAGCTTCTGCTTTCTGACGAAGAGTTTCAATAATAGCATGATCAGGATTTATTTCAAGGTGTTTCTTTGCTGCCATGTATCCCATAGTAGATGTGTCCCTAAGAGCTTCAGCTTTCATAATCCTCTCCATATTGGCAGTACAGCCATATTGTGAAGTAACTATGCAGCAAGGAGAATCAACTAGTGCTGGACGAAACAATGTCTGGCTACAATTAGAGTGGTGAACGTTCGATGTAATATTTGTGCTGTAGATGGCCAATTTCTTTTGAACAGTAACTCTTCATTAAACAGATATGAATGATAACAAACGATAATATCGATGATACACGTCAGTAGGTGTGAATAAGTGGAAATATTTCCGTTCCTTTTTGTCTCCAATCCGCAGTTGCGATTGTCTCCAAAAATTGTCTCTGAAGAACATTTCTTATTGGTCCTTTTTTCAAACACTTCTCTTAAATCCCTGCGCATGCTATCCAAACGCGTGTAGTATTTTCCTGCACGACGCAGGAATCAAAGTGACGAGAAAGAGCTGCAAACACGATCGTTTCTCTTTTTTCCTTTTTTTTTTTTTTTTTTCCGTTTCAACTGTCCTTCATTCCATTTCACGGCTGGCAAATAATCTGGCGGCCATCAAAAACGCGTCGCCGTGCTCGCGGAAGCGTGCACGCGTGGAAAAATGTTCACGGAACGTCCGGCCGTTTGTCGACCGACGGGCAGAGATGCTGAAACGATTTTCCCCCTTTCGTCGGTCGTCAGAGCGATTTACACAGTTTCTGAAACTGCTTATTATTATAATAAGTTTCCCTCTCGTTTCATGGCTTGTTTCACGTCACCCGATCGGCGAGTCCCAATTGAAACTCCGATTCGTTCAATCAGTTTTTTCTCGTTTGTCTCTCCTGCGAGAATGCTGTGATGGATGTCTCGTTTAAAAGCTTGCGTCCTCTTTGCCAAAAAGAACCGACTTGATTTATCATCGATAAATATTAACAATGGTGTTTAATTTCATTTAATTTAATTATCGTACGCTGCAGCACCTTCGAAACCCAAAGTACTCAACTGTAGAAAGAATGTAAAAATCTGCTCACGTGCGAGAGTAAAATCTCCGCTGTCGGAGGATTACTTTAAAAAAGTAAAAAAAAAGAGAAAGAGATTACTTTTAAAAAAAAGGAGAACAAAATACGGA